AATAATTTTTGCGAGATGGAATTTGAAGCATATTGGTAAAATTGTGGTGATGTAAAATAAATTCTACCTACTGTTTTCATCTCCTTTGTTCTTTTCATTGCATCAATATTAACACTTGAATTTGAAGTTCCTTGCTTTAAACTTATTTGTTATGTAGCATTTAACCAAGACTTAACATAAGGGTCATTTTGAACCTTTTTGAAAAGAGATTTTTTATTTTTTTTATTATTTTTTTATTTTTTTATTTTATAAGTTTGAAAGAAAACATTAATATCTTCCATCTAGAAATTTAAGGTAAGGATACTTCTTCAACGTTTCTGAAAGATAAAATAAGAAACTCTTACCGACCATGTATAGGTGGGCATTCATGGTTTGGCTCCATCCGGACAACACAATCGCATCCAAATTTGGAGGCAAATGAAATGAATATTATAAGGAATTTGAGACGATCCAAGAAACAGATACAAGAAATCAACACTAACACAACCCAGAAAACAAAGGCAATGTATCCCAGCATTGAAAAGTAATAATGAAGTAACAATATAATATGAGCAGAACCAAATACTTACATTATCCCCATAACTTTGGAATTGGCTAAAACAAACCAAAGAATAGATGGCATCATCAAGTATTCGAATGTGCACTCCAAAAGCATTGATTACAACTTTTCATTACTGATGCTTTCTTCTTTTTTTTTAGGTGAATTTTCATGAGGAAGTTCTATGATACATATACAATTTTTCTATATTTTGGAACTGATTAAAACTCGAGAGAGTACAAATGGATTGAGTTGTGAACTGCTGCTAAAATGCACCACCGTCTCGAGAGATATCGAGCTATGAACTTGGAGGGCAAGTTCGGGTTGATAAACTCTTTGTTCTCATGATTTGGTCTTGAACTTCCTTTGAGCTTTCAAGTCCACTACAATCACAGAGATGTTGTCTTTGCTTCCCTTTTGGAGAGCAAGCATTGAGAGGTAATCTGCTGCAGCTTGTGCAGCTGGGTCGACTCCCATGCCCCGATCGGTGAGCGATGAAGCTCCGTGTTTTTTGTGCCAAAGAAGAATCCGCCTTCGAGCCACTTCGCAGACTTCCTCATTTGTCATCACATCCCACAGGCCATCACTGGCTAAAATAAGACATTCATCTTCTTTCGCTCGAGGAACAAACATGACTTCCGGGTCGGGAATGATCCATGGCTTCAAATATCTATCACCTGTTAGATATGTAAAGATTGAGATGATCTAATGTTGATACACAAGCAAGAGCTAAAAGATTTGATCCAAAATAACCTACCAATGGATCTTGACATTGCAAGAACTCCGAACACACGATGTCCATTCCACTGGATGACCTTGCCTCCAGACGATTCAATCCGAGCGTATTCATCTTCACGATTTGGCTGTGGAAAAATTATATTTATAAATTAGTTCCTTCACAAGATAGAGGTTGCTCTATCATTCTATATGGGATCGGATGCATAGCATACTTTATGATCGACCGATAGCGCCATCGGTTCTTTGCCACGGCATAGAACAGCTCTAGAATCACCACAGTTCGCAACTATGATGTGTGATGAACAGACCAAGGCAACAACGGCGGTAGAGCCAACAGTTTCCGGGGCAACAGGTTTGAAGCTACCAACTTTTCCTTCTATTTCATCATCCACTCTAACAAAGCAATTGTTAAAGGTTCTCTCCCAATCCTTCTCCCAGTTTTCTCCATTATTGCTTCCATTATTTAGATTTTGCTTAAACCCTTTAATCTCTTCAGCTAATGCTAAGTGTATGCGCTCTCGACAATAATCCGCAACCTACATGAAATAAAACTTTTCTTGATTCAGAACACGACGCCGAGTTCGAGAATAATCTAAAGCTAGCAAAGCAGCAAATTAGGAAGTGTTTGGTAAAGAAGTGTTACCTGAGAGCCGCCATGTCCATCATAAACACCAAAAAAATGGCTGTTGAGATGTGTTAAACTTTGACCCATTCCATTAAGCATTCCATTTCCCACAAGCATTCTGATAGGAACCTTAGAAAAACAAGGAACCACAGCAATTGCATCCTCCATTTCTGGTCTTCTACCACAAATCGATACCGACCCCCAAAGGGGTACACAATCCTGCTCAAAGACACTCCGAACGCCTTTATGAACACCATCTCCCCCTTTCGATTGGAAAACCACTGCAGGGGCTTTTAGCTCTGACGATGTCGATACTTCTAAATCGGAGCTTACCGTTGCCACGATAAGTTCACTAGTAGGAATCTTCCCTGATTCCACCAAGATAATAGCCTTGGCAACAACATGACCATTACTGACATCTCCAATCTTGACAACTTCTTGTACATTAAGATTAGAACCACCATCAATAGCAAACAACCCATCATCTATCATTTCATCAGGGTCACCCATAGTAGATAAGGTAGCATCTTCCTTATCGACAGTCAAACTTACGCCATTCGTCGGCAACAACCCCCAAAAACCATCTCGACCTTGACTACTATCACTTGGTTGCGACACGGTTATGCTATCGACTATACCACTAAAACCATGGCAACTACCATTACTAATAGGACCCGAGTCAGGGGTCGATGCAGAGAACAAATTTACCTTGTCTGTCACCAACTTTAGCCGCGTAAATTCGACATGGCTAGGACTTCCTGATGTATCAGACTTTGGATTACCTAAACTAAGGGTCAAAGAAACAGCAGAAGGCATCTCTTCCATCATTCTTTACTAATCCTTCAGATAACCTATGTATCTATCTATCATCCAATTTCTTTCACTATCATGACATGTTAGCAATCAAACTTGACATAAACTAGGCTGGTTTAACCTCTAACACAAACCCACAACGTTTCAACCAAAAATCAAATGGCAGATTCTGAATAGTGTAAGCTCAAAACAAGCAGAACAAAAAGCAGCCACCAAATCCTTGGATCTATTTAGGAACAGTGGATCTAACCTTGCAATGATTTAAATTCAATCAATGACAAAACAACAAATTCCCCCAAAAAACCTCATCAAATTCTTCCCCCTTCTGATAAGAACAGCCAACTATCAACAATCTTTTGTCCGTTATCAGTTCTTATATACACAAGAGTATGAGAAACGAGTATCTCTAACATTTATCCAAGTGGAAGGATGTAAATCAAAGTGAAATCACAAGAGGATGGATCTAAAACAAAGCGAAATCACAAGAAATCCCCAAAAGGGTTCGCCTCTTTTTTCTCATAAAACTTCAGAGTTTCCTGGATCCAAGGCAACTCATCAAAATCCGATCCAAACCCACGAATCTTCTTCTACCAAAACCTTCCTTCCTTCTTATTTAAAACCAAAACGCCAAAACCCATACGGAAATGAACTAGAACGAAACGTTTGAAGATCCCATTAGAACAAAAAGAGCAAGAAATTAGGCAAAATAGCAATAGAAGAGAGAAGAAAATGAACAACGATTAGTTTCCCACCAGTTGAAAGTGTAGGAGTAGAATCCAGAGCTCTATAATGACTTTGATTCTGTATTTAACCTCTCTTTCACGAGAGAGAGAGAGAGAGAGAGAGAGAGAGAGAGAGAGAGAGAGAGAGTGATGGGAAATTTAAAAAAACCTTTTTTAATAATAATGAGGAGGAAAAAGGATTGGTTTTTGTTTATAAAAAAATGGGTGAGTTTTTGATTTGGGAAAATGCAGATCCATTGAAGGACACGTGTGGAGAATAAAAGTAATTAGGTTGCATTGTTGAAAGCAGTCCGCGACAGAAAAATGCTCCATTCATACCACCAAAGGATTATTAACTCATGGATCTTTCATGAGAAAAGCCACGTGTCCACATACTTTCCTATTCCTTTTTGTGGAAAACTTAAAAAATAAAAAATAAAAAAACAGAAAAGTCCACTGGGGACCAATCATGTCGATGGCGTATGGACCTGTCAAAAAGGAGGGTCGTTTGGGCAAATGCCACGTGGACAACTTTGCTTTGTCATTCACAAATTTGCCTCTTTTTTCTTCTTCTTCTCCCCTACTCTCACGTAACAACAAACCTAATATATATATTTTTTAGAAATAATCAATCAGAATGGCGGTGCTAAATGAATTCTTTTTTTATTTTCTACATAATATATGTGTATAAAGAAAAAGGGAATTACATGCATTGTTTTATTTCTTTTTTATGTCAGTTCTTTTGGATTGGATGAATCTGAGTTTAGTTGAGAGATCTTGACACCCTCAATCAATTTCATATTGTTTTATATGATTTCCATCTATGAATTGAACTATTCATAGGTTGATTTTACTATCTAAGTTCATTTATTTTATAAAGAAAATTGTAATTTGTGTAACTTGTGATCGATTTCGGTCATTTGGGTTATGTTATAAACTTGGGGGTCTACATAATTTATACAAACTTTCATATATTTTCTACCTATCAAGCTTAGAATAATTCTCCCTTCCCCCTATATCTTTACTCTTTTCTTCCTTTTTGAAGAAAAAGAAAAAAGAGGGTTCAACTTTATTTGTTGAGCTCTTCATGATTGTGCAGCTTTAGATATAAATTCTATTTGTGAGTAAAATTTGGAATGTGAGAGATTGGCGTTTAAAGCATTATCTTCAAGTTTTTCAACTAAATTAATTGGCACACATTTTGATGTAGCTCAAATGCATGAATCCCATCGCCCCCCATTCGCACCAAAATCTCCTTTGGGGAGTGAAACTCTGCCATCCAACTTGCAACACTTCATACTTTCGGCTTCTCATTCATCAAACTTTACGTCACAATGAGGCAAACCGACGGAGAACTTCAAGCTCGATTCTCTGCATCAACTCATCAAACTTAAATCTGCAGTTTCAGTTACAGATGAATGGGTTACAATAAAACGAAAAGCTCTAGTATCAGAGAACTTACAACCGGCGCAGGTCGATTGAGATATCCTATATCAGATCACTTACAACCGGGCGAGGTCAATAGAGATATCGTATATCAGATCGAAAGGAACTGATGGCTTTAAAAATAAAAAATAAAAAGCTTAGATCATTCCAACAAGAGTTTAGACACATTTCTATCTCCCAGCTCTTAACAAATTACCATATTAGAAGATGAGAAATGGATGGAAGCAATTGACTATATTATCAGCCAATGAAACGTACAAAAAAGATCCTCTTCGTCTATCCGTTATTGATATGAAAATCAACCAATCGAGAGTATGTGGCCGGTTTAGAACGAAAAAATGAATTACATCATAGATTCGTTTTGAAGTTGAATGCCTCAACAATGACTATATACCTTATTCCTGTAGTCTATGCAAACTTCAAATCTCCTTGGTTACGAAAAAGGAGACTGTAAGGATAAAACTAAAGCTGAAAATAATTTGAAAAGAGAGCTGAGGTCGAGTTCATATCTTTCCATATGACTGCTTATGTGACAAAACGAAAATTTGTTTGATGAAAACCGGAGAAGTCGATCAATCTATAGCAACATCGATTCAGGGTTCTCGATGTAGCCCTTGAAGGCTTTGAGCCATTCCGCACCAATTGCCCCTGAACAAACAATGTAACATAATGCTTACACTTCTCATTCAAATTATATAGAATCTTAAACGACTGCAGGTCATAATTCTGTAATGTTTTTACCATCAATAACGCGATGATCACAGCTCAAGGTAACAGACATGAAGGAAGCAAACTTGAATTCTTCAGCGCTTGATCCTGGTATCACCCTCTTCTCGGCTGGTTCAAGATTATGTGCGAATGGTGGTTAATAATTTTTTAGAGCAATGAAAAAATGAAAAATACTTTGATATCCAGAATGACAAAGGGTCCGCATACCAGAACCAACAGCAAGAATGCCCGACTGTGGAGGGTTGATAATGGCACAAAATTGTTTGATGCCAAATGGACCTCCCAAGTTGGACACAGTAAAAGTGCCTCCCTACAAAAGGATTAAACTACTGATTAAAATCCCTAAACCATGAAAATAATAATAATAATAATATTGTCCTACGCATCCAAACAACATTCCACCTCATAATCTTCTGGTTTTAAAGTGTTCTCTCTCGCTTTCTGCGCCAATTTCTTGACCTCCTCAGAAATACTAGATAAACCTTTCTTGTCGGCGTCCTGTAATATACCCAAGCTCAAATCTTCTTTAAAATGGTTATAAAAGCCTAATATTTCAACAGCGCATCTACAAAGACAACTACTGACCCTGATAACTGGAACATAGAGTCCGTTGTCAGTCTGCACTGCAACATTAATATTCACGTTGTGATACCTGGATGAGAGGACCAAGAAAGAAATTCACATCACAATGTGGTAATGAAAATAAGCAAATATCAATTATTCTCATCGCTTACTGTCTAATATAATTGTCCGTCCATGAACTGTTGCATTGAGGGACTTTCCTAAGAGTCAAGGCAGCAGCCTGCAGCAACGTTCTTACAAAGATTAAAATGATATTTTAAAGAAAAAGGGTGGGTTTGGATAGAAAGGTTGTCGAGCACTGTTCCTCTATTTCCTTTACCCATAAGAAATAAGAACTTCCAAACATTCAAATCACTTGGGAAACAACTAAAATACAAAGCGCCAATCAAGTACTTCACATCAAACAGAGAATGGAAAGGAGGGAATGTACTAAAAGTTTTAGGCATACTGCTTTCAGTTTTTTTTTTCCAAGCAAAAAAGATGGGGAAAAAATGCAAAGGTCCTAGGCAAATGATAAGACAAATTAGCATTTAAAAATTCAAACTGATGATATGCTTCGGTACAATCGAACTACATACCCAGTTATATAATTCCTTTAAAATACCTTAATAACAAGATCATTAACAGATAACCTCTTTCCACCAGATGCTTCTTGTAATGCATTTAGCTGGTTTCTCAAACTACAAAGAAAACAACAGCTCATTAATTTAAATCTTTGGTTAATATTCAACTGCAAAAGGTATGGAGAAATTACTTACTCCATGAGCCTGTCAACGCATGCATCTACGGATAAATAATAATGAGGAATGGTTTGCTTTGAGAACAGTAATCGTGATGCTGTAACCTGTTAAAATTTTGAAAACATTAGCTCGGGGAAACATGCACCAAATTGGAATATTTAGGAGGTTTTGTCTATCAATCCAATAAAAACAATTTGAATCTGAAAATGGAGATGCCACTAACAGAGCATATAACAAATACAAGTAATTTATTCATAGAACATCCTAACAATTGAAAGGTGAAGAGACTGGTATAAGCAAACACACAATTGCAGTACTAGTGTGTTTTTGGAACATGTGCAAGCTTGTATGTGTTGATAAAGAAAAAGGAAACAAAGAGACTGACAACATAGATGGAGGCACCGCAGAGTGAAATGGCACCATATTACACTAAAAGCTGCCAGAAAATACCAAGAAGTGCTATTATCATGTAGTGTATGGGGTGAGAGGGACGGGGAGAGGGGGTGGCGGACCTTTCTTATTTGAGTATGTGGGACGTCACTGTAATCCAATGGTGCACCTGCTCCATCCTTGGCTTTGGGGGCTGTGGTTGATTCCTTACCACGTGAAGCTAGAGACATAAGGTAAAAGATATTAATGGGCCACAATTTAACAAAAGAAACATATTAATGGGTATGTAGACAACAGAGATATTCACGGTAACTCAAATATAAACAAATATTAACAGATAGTGAGACAATGGAGCAATAATAAATAAACTGTCGGAACCACTGCCCAGCATAAAGAAAATGAGTTACCCAAGTAATCTTCTATGTCAGCCTTTACAATGCTCCCATCAGGACCTGTTCCTTTGACACTTGAAATGGGTACCTACACTCAGAAAATTTAAACTATAAATAGAAAGAAATTACAAATATAAGTCTCCAAATTTTAATTCAGAAAGACATTCTCCAACTAACATTGTTATCTTCTGCTAATTTTCTCGCCAGAGGACTAGCAAAAATACGCTCTCCATCTGAAGCAGGGCCTTGCTTAACAGTCTTTGGCTCGGGTGAACGAACTGGTTCCTCAACTGCTTCTTTCTTGGGTGAGCTAGGGGCAGATGACTCAGCAGCTGCAGCACCAGCACCAGAACTTGATGAAGTGGGTTCATAATCTTTAAACTTTGCTATATCCTCTTCATCTTCAACAGTAATGGCAATTACCTAAAGAAGAAGGTTTGTGTCAACCACATCAAATGCAGAAAACAAAATATCCATACACCTCTATCTAGAGATATAGCTTACAATGATGGTCATTGCCATCATACGGCAATCACTCCTTTCCCCCTTCTAGTTTTCACAGAGGTAAGAGGGAAAGAGAAGTAACAGAAAGCAATATCAATACCTCGCCAACTTTAATTTCCTTTGCTCCGTCTCCATGAATTATCTTGGCAAGATAACCTTCCTCCATGCATTCCATTTCTACTGTTGCTTTATCCTTCAATCATGCAGAATAAGAAATTATAGAGCAATATTCCAACAACTAAAAGGCAGTAAAAAACTACTTTCAACTTCCAACTGCAAAAAGGTATTGGAATATACTGTTTCAACTTCACAAAGCACTTCCCCAGGAGAAAGTTTGTCTCCCTCTTTTTTCAACCACCTTGCAATGTTGCCCTGCATAACAAAGAGAACAACTTAGCATTTATTTAACAAGAGATTATTCAACCAGGTTGGCGAGCATAAGCTACCTCTGTCATCGTAGGGGAAAGCGAAGGCATTCCAATCTCTTGATGCGGGGGAAGACCTGAAGCATGTTGCATGATTCTAAGTAAAATGCATATATAAAGAAAATTTTCCACAGGAAGTTAAGTTAAGCATGAAATATATCATTGATAATGATACTGTAACAGATAGAAACAAGGACATTAATTCTTAAACACAAGAACTAACAAAGCATTTATAGGTACAAATTTATTTAAAATTATAGATTTTTACTTTGTATCTCCGTGGGAGTTAGAGTGGATATTTCTTCAAAAACACATATAACCCATTTGCCACCAAATATAAACATTTGAGAGAAGAAAATAATCAGAGCAAAATTTAGCACAAAATACAATTCTATCACTGACAAGAATCTAGTTAGAGTTGTTTCTAATGGAAAATGGAAGTATGCAAATACTATATGTTTTTTGACAAGTCAAAATCTTGCTATATGTGCAGACCATCAATTAAAAAGAATGAAACAAATTCATGCATGTCTGCAGAATGGAACAAGAATATAAGACCACATAATGTACCTGAGCCAGAGGAAAAACCTCTGTTTGATTTTGTCAGTGAACTGCTGTGGGGGCAAATAAGACACATTAGGTACTTTGGTCATGATCAAAATTATAGCCCTAGCATCCTACCTTACAAACAAATGCACAGATGGATATATAAATGTTTTTGCTAGCGTGTGTGTGTACATGTTGTGTGGTTAGGTACTAACCCAAAAAAGGGATTCCCAATACTTGTTGTCATCATTGAAACACCTCTATTACATTGGAGAAAGTGCGGTCTCTACAAAGAGAAGAGCACAAATCAACACAAAACAAGTTACACCAGAAGTTGTCATGCACCTGGCAGAAAGTGACAAGCTATAGCAGAAAGGGAAGAAATTATAACAATATCATTTCAGTCAGCTAAAAAACTCAGATTGATGACTTCATGAACAGGCAAAATGATGGTTGCAACTCACGTTGTTAAAGTTGACAAGGTTCCTAATTGCCCCTTTTTGGGAAGACTGGTAACCGCGGCCCTGGATCTTCCAAATTTCTGTAAAACAGCGACTTTTGTTAGGGTAACTTCAATAGTCAGCTTCCGGATGCACTCTATTTAAAGCAATAAAAAATAATCAAGACGATAATGCATCTTGTTAAACTAACCAAAAAAAATTCTGATTAAACGCAGAAATTGAATACCAAAAAGTAATCAAGCACAGTTCTTAAACTTCAGATGAATCAGCAAGAAAAATAGAGTTCTAAAACTGCCCTTGTGAAGGAGTTGGCGTAGACCTCTCAAAATAACCAATCTGTCTCACCATGAACAACTGCTTACCATCTTTTTTGACAATAGAGGACTGTAAATCCTCTGAAAACCACCGAACCGCACTAGCTTGCCGAAGGAACTTTGAAGCACCTCTTAACTGCACGAATAACATGAATGGGTTAAAATTTCTGATTAACACCGGGAAAATTTGCCTAACCCTTGCAAGAAGGCACAGTTTCATGAAAATAAAGTGAATCAAAGGAAGTAAAAAGTACAAAGAGATCTGTATAAATAAAGGTATGAAAGATGTGTAAGATATTTCCTAATAGTCACATTGGCAAATATAATTTAAGCATTTAAATGAAACAAATGATGCTACGTTTAGTTTATGAACATTCATCCAATGGCTTGTCAGTATGTAATGACCAATCAATCAACAAGAAATGTCTTCCTTGGCTTTGAGTAATGGACGTGATATAATTTTTCGACATAAATTACAACAGAGAGATCAATGGTGCCTGAGATAATAAATCAACATAAAGTTTAACTGTAAATCAATGAGCATGAGTAACTGTTCAATCCCATAATGACAGATAAAGAAACCCACTTGAGCTAAGACTTAGATCCAGCATGAAGGATTAAAACTAATAATCAACTTCCCCCCACCCCACCGCATCCCATGCCAAAAAGAAACGAAAACCAGATATACAACCAGCCCCGTAAGCTTCTTTGTGGAACCAGCACTATGAGGATCGCTAAGGTCCAATTGTACGAGGAATGGAAAATGAAGGAAGAAAATAAGAGGACCATAGAGTACTGTACAAAAACCAAAAGCACTATTAAAATGAAACACCCATTAGAAATTTAAAGAGTTCATGAATAAATGGTTTAATTATGGCTTGGAACTGCATAAGATATTGATCTTCTCCCATTCAACAAAGCAGTTAGATTTTGTGGGCAATACCATTAAAAGTCTATGCGAACTTAACAACCACGAAACAAAGTAACAGCGCTCCTGTTTGTGCAACATGCATAGGACACACATCGCGAAGCTTACACCCGGAACGATTCAGAAAGAAATTAATTCCATAATCAAATTAGAAACAGATGAATAAATACGTCACAGGGTAAGGAAGTGCTGAGATATTCGCATTGAACCTCACCTTTTTCGAATGGTTGACAATTTGCGATGCATAGCCCATATTGTCTGGCGCAAACTACACAGAAATAAGTCGTCCAAGAACAAATGGAGATCGATCTGCAGCTGAGATGATGAACAAAAAGTTTGAAATAAAATTAAAATTGGAAGTACGAAGAAGTTAGGGTACGGTTCAGTAGCAGATCTCTGACACCAATTCTATTCAGCTTGATTCATGTTGAGGCATTTCGTTTTTCTGCTTGTCTTCCTTTATTTCCTTTTCTCCGCATGTTAGGTGTCAACTAGGGGTCTGCACGGTTCAATTCGATCTGGTTTTGACCAAACACCAGTGATCAAATCGAACCACTCAATTCTCAAACATTCTAAACCGATAAATTTTAGATTTATTTTAATTTTAACCCGCCAACGACAGTGTGGCGGCTACCCTCGGGAAGCACACGGCCGCCGCCGACCGAAGAGTGAGACCAAAGAAAGTGCAGTGGAGAGACTTACCGTGGGGAGTGGCGCGGTTGCCAGCGGAGAATATGACCGTCACCGGCGAAAAGTGGGGCGGCTGCAGAGTGTAAATGAGAGGAGAGTGAGACTGATAAAATGGAGATCAAAGACCGAGGGAACTGGAGAAATAGAGAAGGGGCGGGCGGGAAGGCGAACCGATTTTGTCAAAAATGGCCGGTTGGGACCGGTCGCCTCGGATCGATTCGATTTGAATTACTCAAAAGCCGAAAGTGATGGAGCCGATTGTTAGGCCGGGCTCTACTTTTAGGCAATTAGAATTTTACTTTTTGTTTTTCTCAACATACTTGGAAGCCTATTTTTTTTTTTTTTCTTTTCTTTTTTTCAATACTGGAAATATACTTACTTTATATAAAATATTAAATAAAAATAAATTTTGATTTTAGGTATATTAGTAAAATTATATGTATTGAATAACTATAAATATTGATATCTTTTTCAAAACAAAAAAAAACAAATTAATAAAATAATTTCATTGATATAAGAATATATTACACAAAAATATTAATTTCAAATAAGGCACACTTATCTTTACTTTTTTTTAATTGCCCAATCAAAGAAAAAGGAAAATAGGAAAATGCAACTGATTTTTTTCTAACAGAAGTTAATTAAGGCATCCATATTTATTTTAAAATATATGTTTATTTAATAATGATAATAATATATTAAACAAAAAACTTTCGAATCATCTTGTTTTTTGGTCTAGTTGTCACACTAACGTATATATATATATATATATAAACAATATACTTTATAGAGACTTTTGTCATTTATAATGAACCTTCCGATCATACAAAGTTGCAAATGGCAATGACATAAAGATAAAAGATAATATTTTACAAAATCATCTATAAAGACCTTTAAATATTTATGAATATTTTGAAGATGCATTCGATAAACTTTCATTTTGAAATAAAATTAATTTCAACTATACACACTAATTAATAATAGTGTTCATTTTAATTTAAGGGTGAAACTTTCTACATTTATAACTATTTTCAATTATTTAATTTTAAATAATTTCAATAAAAAACAATTTCCGTCTTAAATATTACCAAATAGCCAAAAAAAAAAAAATCATCACTTAATTGCTTCATGTGTTTAACTTATTTTTTTTCTACAATAAGATATTTACATTTAAATTAATATAATTGATATAATTATTACTTTTGAATTTTAATTAATACAATATAGAAGACTAGAGGTATAAATTCATTTAAAAAAGAAAAAAAAAAAGTAGACACTTTAGTTTCACGTGAAGAAATTTATAATTATGCACACGGAAAGGCTTAAGACATAATTCTAATAAATATCAAAATTGAATGGATGTAACTATTAGTTTTGAGTGCAATTTAATTTTTGTTTATATAAATTGTTCTTTTAAGTAATAGACTATTTTGGGCCTAGAGTTTGGGCCGGCCCATTACAGTGAAAATCCAAGAACACGACAAAAAAAAAAAAAAAAAAAAAAAAAA